TGTGAAACTTGGTCTCTGACATTAAGGGAGGAACATAGGCTGAAGATGCATGAGAACAGGATGTTGAGGAGAATATTTTGACCGAAGAGAGATGAAGTGACTTGAGGTTGGAGAACACTGCATAATGAGGAGCTTCATAACTTGTACTCTTCTCCAAGTACAATTAGAATGATCAAGTCAAGGAGGATGAGGTGGGCAGGTCATGTAGCACGAATGGGGGAGACTAGGAATGCGTATAGGATATTAGTGGGAAAGCCAGAAGGAAAGAGACCACAAGGAAGACCAAGGCGTAGGAGGGTGGACAATATTAGAATGGATCTTGGCGAGATAGGATGGGATTGTATGTATTGGATAGATAGATCTGGCTCAGGATAGGGACCAGTGGGGGGCTCTTGTGGACATAATAATGAACCTTCGGGTTCCATAAAATGCTGGGAAATTCTTGAGTAGCTGCAGAATTGGCGGCTCCTCGAGAAGGGCTCAGTTCCATGAATGAGTAAGTAAGTAAGTAAGTAAGGTAAAAAAAAAGTAAAGTTGCCCCTGTGCTTAGCTAATTAAGCACTACGCCATGAAGGTGTATGGGGGAGTGGATTTACCGAAACAACCTACGTAAAATCTTACTGACTTGCCAGAACTGTGCACGGATGAAGTTACATTTTAAATAGTTTCAAACTCGGCCAATGTCTCTTGCGATAGGTCTAGACCCACCTAAGACCCACGGATTAAGAAACTTTGCTTTTATTATTATTATTATTATTATTATGTTAACTGCAAATGGGTTTTTACCTGGTGGCCGTGATACTACAATAAGACACAACACACATCACACAAAATAACACACCACACTCAAACAGAAAACATCACACAATACTACACAAACAATAAAGGACACAATACGCACAATGAATACAATGCCAATACAATTACAACTATAAATTAATGAAAAAATAAGCACACTATACACTATATGATAATAGTAATGAAGTACGTAATATTATGATCTGATGAACTCACATTTCACCATGGCCTTCCCTTCATTCCACTTCACTACACTTACGTACCCTTCACAACCTCACCACAATTCACTTCACTACACTGCATTTTTTGATGATTTCCCCCACGCCTTCATTTCGCCGTATTTATCACTTTCCTAACCCTTTTCCTAAAATTACTTGGTTTACAGGAGAGAGTCCCTAAAACATCTGCAGGTAGTTGGTTCCAGAGCTGGATGATCCTATTTACAAAGGAATATTTTCCGATATCTTCTTTTGCTTTCTGCTCCTAATTTTCCTATCATGATCGGTCCTGCTCAGATAGCACGGTCTTTGTAATCTATCGCCTATACAGCGTTTCTCAAACTATGGTCCGCGGACCACAAGTGGTCCTCGAGGTGTGCCCTTGTGGTCCTTCAAAAAAGACAGAAGAAAAAATAAAATTCAAATGAATTGCGTATCACACTATAGCTGAAAATCTCAGAGTTTGGAAATTACACATGGCAATCGTCTTTCACTTCTACGTATCTGTGTGAGAAAGGGATTTCATCACTAACTCAAATAAAAACAAAGTACCGAAATCGACTCGATGTATGTGATGATCTCCGACTTAAGCTCACCAGCTACATCCAAATATATAACAACTGTGCAAGAATCGGCAGGCTCACCCATCTCATTAATGTGAGTACCAACATTTATTTATTTTTTTAGTTAATAAGTCGAAGATTATCCTAATTCTAATAGTCTTGAATTATTAAAAAACGAATATGAATTTTCTTCTATTAACTTAATTACGTACTACTAATATAAAATTAATTGAATTAAATTAATTGTAATTAATTCTATTTTAAAATATAAGTATATTGGTATTAAAATATGCTAAAAAATGATAAATTTGCTTTCGAAGGGAACAAGAGTAAAGTGGTCCGCAGAACTGTTCTGACTTATAAAAGTGGTCCTCACTTCAGAAAAGTTTGAGAAACGCTGCCCTATAGCCCTCAAGCCCGTTCTCACGGGCACGCTTTGAACAGGGCACATATGCGAGCTATCTGCCTGCGCTGTGTCAAGGTTTCCCAGTTCAAATCATTTCTATGACATGCACATTTAGCCGTTATGTTTTGCACCCTGTCTAGCGCATCTATATGTCCTTTCCTGTAAGGATTCCAGCAAGCCGCCCCATATTCCAGAATCGGACGCACTAAAGACGTGTAGACTAAACTTTTAACGTTACGTTTTCCTCTTTTAAGAATTCGCATTGTAAAATGAAGTGCCTTCCAGGCTCTTTTCACCGTGTGATTAAATTGATCAGCCCAACTTAAATGGCAGCGTAAAATTATTCCCAAGTATTTACAGCTGCTCGCTTCCGGAATCACTATGTCCCGTAACGAATAATTTAGTGGTTCCGTCACTCGGGATCTAGTGAAACGAACTGCTTTACTTTTAACTGGATTAATCATAATCGCATTTTAAACCGCCCACCCCCAAGCCTGTTCAGATATATCTGCAACTTTTCCATATCTTTTATTATTTATAATTTTCCTACATATTATACAGGAATCTGCAGAAAGTCTAATATTTGACTAAATGTCTGACTTGTTTATGCAAGACTTGCAGCTTCTTTCGACAGTCTTCCTCTTTCAAAATGACAATAAAAAACAAACAAAAAACCTCTGTGGTTTTAGTCCACAAGCGAACTATACCGACCAAGCAGCCGCCACTTGTCGGCGAAGTTAGTGCCAACTTTAGTGGATAGAGGGTTTCCCGTGGTCAGAGCAACGAATCCCCTCGGACGTTACTTTCGGTTTTCTAGACCGGAGCAGCTATTTCCTTGAAATAGCTCAATTATCCTCACGAGGCTGAGTGGAACCCGTTCCAGACCCACTACTTCTCAGAAAATTTGGTAGTGCCGGGAATCGAACCCGGACCTCTGGATCTGTAGCCTGGAACTCTGACCACTAGACCACAGAGGCGGTCCAAAATGACAATAAACATACTGACAAATAAAATAAAAAATACAGCACTGCAAATAAAACTTTGATTTCACTAATAAAAATTAACATCCCAAGAATAACTTCAGTAGCCATAGCTAAAACGGACACACTGAGTGGTTTAACAGCACGTGACAATCCTGAGCACTGCGAATACGATTGTGTGAAGGTTGGTGTAAAGAACGCAGTCTTTCAACTACGCATGTGCTCACAAGAGCCCAGAGCTTTTCATTTACCCTACATGAGATTCTCCAATACCACTCCATATGAACAAAACATAGTGTAAAGGAGAGTCAGGTGCTGACTTACTGGTATAGAATTAACTCCTGAAAAATTACTGGTCGATATATCTACAGCGAAAATTTCCTTTTCGACTTCGTACGTCCGTTACAAGAACACAGCCCGGGGAGGGGTCTGATCACCTTCACAAAGAAACGAGCCAGACAGCGTTAGGTCGTCACGTGTAAGTGAAATGTACAAAGCATTCACGCGGTAACGTAGTTGGTTGAGGCACCATCCTACAAGCCGTGACGTCGTGAGTTCTATTCCCGATGAGGTCATTGGATTTTTATATTGACCTAATCCTTCCATCCGCACTATGACCCTGGGGTCGGCTCAGCCTCTTAACAGAAAAGAGTACCAGGATTCTTCCTGGGGGTAAAGGGCGGCAGACGCGTGATCCTGACCTCATAGCTATCTGCGAGTCGACTGTCTACAAAATGTGGGAACCTCGACGTCTCACAACACTATGGGCCTCCACGGCCTGTTACAGGGATAACTCTACCCTTTTCTACAAAGTATTCACAAAAGAAAGATACTGCGCACAAGAACTACATAAGAAAGGGTATCCTTAAAACTCAAGTCGAAACATCGGGGTTCTTCCCCACTCTGTCTCATTTACGCGTTGAACTTGCTCCTGCAGTTGTCTACCAACTGATACTGTCCGTACTATTTAATAGGCACTAAATTATGACAAGGGCCCTATTACACGGAAGAATCGCAGTGCTGTGATTAGCACCCACTTCGTATCCGCTGATTTCTGATTTGCTTAATTTTATAGTTACACTCGTATACGTAAACACGCGATCGTTTCTCATTGCCGGTGCGTAACGCTGCCGTTGCATAGCGTCGTTAAATAAACAATAATGTACACGCTACGTGAAGCGTAAGCTGATTTCATGGTCAGTGACCCGGCCCACACATTGTCATTATATGTCTGATTCTCAGAACAGGCGATTTGTTTTCCTAAAATCGTAATCGACAGTTTTCTTGGAGGTTATATGTTTAAGTTCGGCCTTTTAGAGGGTTGGTGTAGCTTACGGCAATAAAGCATAACCTATAACCCTCATCTAGATATGTAGCGCCAAGTCAGGCATAAATACTACAAGTGACCATCACTTACCTTTTGTTATTTTAACACTTCCAAGACAACAGCTACCGGCCGTGGACACTTCCCACCGTTTCAGAGGGTATATGAACTTATTCACATAACTTATCGCCGTAATTCGTAAAACGTTCGAAGGATAAAAACAAATTACATGAAACACAATAATCACTAGTTTTCCTGGAACCCGCCAAGTAGCTTAGCTCCACAGGTAACGAAACAATTGCAACGAAGGTTAGTTAGTCCAGGACCCCAGCCGCTAGGTGCAGCAACAAGAAGTATGGAGGTGGGGGAACATGCGATGCAGAGGGAGGAGGAGGAGGAGGGATAAAAAGGAGGGAGTTTGTAATTCTCTCGAGCTCTCGAGTCATCGAAACGATGGAGCGAAGTTCAGGGTTAACCAGTCTGAGGAATGGAACCTGTTCGTAAGACAGGCGCTAAAATTCGTGCTGTCCGACATTCCATGAAAGTTTCTTTTTTTGGTTTATTTAAACGTCACCTCGACACTGGTTAGTGGTAGGTGGTTAACTTCACGCTCCTGTCACTTTTCAGCCGGGAAAGATATCAAATAATATCTGGGTGGTCCTTTGTCGGAAATCGAACCCATGTCGAGTCCGTAGTCTGAGGCTCGAAGATTCAAACGAGCAATAACAAAATCCGTCATTTTACACAAACCCAAGCCAGTTCAATCCATATCCCCTTGTCAAGACCTGTTTCCATACAATGCATCATAGTGTTATGCTCCACAGCCTTCACGGCCGCTTTACCAGAAGTTTCTTCAGCAAAATTCTGCATGCAGGATTTGTCTTCTCTGAGCTACATGTGAAACCCATTCTTTATAATGACATACGAGTATATACAAATCGATCTTTAAGTAATATCCTTCAAATCACGGTTCCTTCGCCTTATCAGAACTTTGAGTTTCGCAGAATGATGTTCTGTACTGCTGTGGTATTTGGCCGTTTAATAATTCAGGCTGACTGGCTCGCTGGTTTCTCACTGAGGAGACCCGGGTTTAATTTCAGGGAAGTCAATGTCGAATTCATGAGGACAAAGTAGTGAGTACGTCGGTTTTCCCCTGCAATTCTCCACACACACATCTGTAGTAACCCTCATTGTCAGGGAGTAGTACAATAGGTCAATGTCCTCTTAGGCCGCTGCAGTGCCAACGCACCCAGTCTCCCACTACTCCAGCCATTGCCATTACATGGTGTGGTTAGAAGAAGTCCGTCTCAGCCAGGAGTTGATCTAGAGACTTCCAGATTACTGCAATGTACCAATTAGCACTCTGCCGTATAGCAGTGGTGCCACTACAGCAAACTAAAACATGTCTTTCCACTCAACGTGGCATGCATCTTATCTGTAACTGAGGAGAGAAACTCGACTCTTGTAACGCTCCGTATTTAAGTTTGTAGCCTTACATACTTTGTAATGGAGCTCCGTAACTTTCGAGGGCGGGTTGTGGTTACGATGCCCTCGTTCGTAGCATTAGGGACAAGAAGTGGACAAGTAATGGGAGGTCGTGTCAGTCCCTGCCAATCCCACGCTCCTTCTCTCAAACTGCTGCTACAATCTCGATAATATTCAGTAAACATAAAAGAGTTTACATCTAAAAGAGCCGGAAGATTTTCATTTTGATCTAATTCGACCCACTATAACCTCTCCTTCACAGGAAGCTAAAATATAATGCTGTTACATTTCTCAAAAATAGTTCAGAGCGCAGAATACAGTACAGGTTATATAAAGGTACCAGGTAAAATCGATAAATTCTGTCGGAAACAATTTTACATATGGAGTAGGCCTGTTTCAGCTAACTAAAGGACTCCTGCAGATTACATAAAGAGAAATTTCATAATGTGAACATTTTACCTGATAGTCCCGTGCGTACTACATTCCCCATAAGCCTCTATTTTTATTCAATCATCCTAATATATAGTGAAGTGTACAAAATATACTATGCATATTTCTCAAGGTTCTTCTTAGGTTCTATTCTCCTCAGCGCCCTCTTCTACATATTCTCCAGCCATGTTTTTTCTCTTAGAGTGAAGGACGAAGTTCCACACTCGCTCAAAACAACAACTAAAGTTATACTATGGTAGCTGCATTCTGAGTACAGTCTTTACGTTTTTAGACAGGAGGCGATAAACTAAATACATGATAACTACTGGTGATAAGTTTTACAAAGAATCGATTGAGGCCTATATTAAGAACAAATGAACAACAATACTGCGAAGAGAGATATCAAATCTCGAATGATTCCGATCAGTAAGACTTAATGGCTACAGAACTCTTGTGAGCCTAAGGAAACCACGCCCTGAAACTTCCGGTACTTACGAAACAAAGGCGTCACACCAAGCTAACCGAACTCCGGAACCCCGCGTGCAATTGTAATGATGTGGCACATCCTTAAACACTTGCAAGTTTCCAGCAATTGTCTACTTGCTTCATCTACATCGAGAAGGAATTTGTCTACGTGCTATTTATTTCAAACTGTCATCTTCTCTTCGCCTTCTATAACAAAAATGTAAATATATACAACAATTCGCTATCACTGTATATGAGTGTGAAATAAGCACATTCTCTCGGTACAGAGAGGAAACAGTTTAATAACTCTATACAGCAAAGTTCTTCTTGAGAATCTAACAGTCGCTAAACCAATCAAGAAGTTTTTCACCATGTAAGCATGTTTACAACAGCCTACCGCGGAATTGAAACTACATTTCCAAACAGTACTGCTAGTCACAGCCTCTTTCATGAGGCAGGATACGTTCTAACTCCTGGCTGGGCATCTTTTTTGTCCTCCTTCAACCAAGATATAAGGTCTTCTTCCACTTGTATTATTAAATAAAACTAAAACACGCTAAGAGAGAAAACAAAGTCATTTGCAAAAAATATCTGAGTAAAACCGGGGCACGGAACCCATATTTTCTAGACAATTGGCTCACAGATGGTGGTGAGGTTGTCAGCCTTAAGTGCCGGCAGACCTTTACCCCAGGAAGATTTCTGGTACTCAATTCTGTTATGAGCTGAATCGACCCAAGGACCATAGCGCGACTGGAAAGATTAGATTAATTGAAAAATCGAGTGACCTCATCGGGAATCGAATCCGCTACCTTCCGGTTTGTAGCATAGTGCCTCAAGCAACTACGATACAGCGTGCCCCTCCCCGTACTACATACATGTCATATGAAAATAATCCACCTGGACGGAATGTTTTTCTGACTATTTTTAGCAACGTTTCACAGCCAGTATCAGACAATATATATTGGCTTCTACCCTTACTCACAAGAGGGGTATTGGCACACGCAGCATCATAACTATTTGTCTGCACTACATATTCGAAACTGAACTAATAATTCTGGGTTTAATACAATTTAATTTGAAAAAAGCCCGTTATATCGTAGGAAAATACCGCGACATGTTCCTCCTAAACGCTGGGCTTCTTCCCACCTACGTGGCGTCACAAGGAAGATGACTGTTCTCCATAGTCTCTCCTGTGAGAGCCTCAAATCCAACAAGAATTAACACCGCCTGATGACTGGAGAATTTAGTCAGTAAGTAGCGAATGTCTTCGCAACGGACGTAATTACCTCTCGCCTATCTTTGCTTCAGATAAGATACAAGGAAGAGATAAACACATTACTGAAAGGAGAAGATGTACTAAGATTTATCAAGTCACAGAGAATAAGATGGTTGGGACATGTCGGAAGAACGGAAGATAATGCAATGCCAAAGAGAATGTTAAAAGGAAGGCTGTATTCCAAAAGAAGAAAAGGAAGACCCAGGATGAGACGGCCAGACGATGTTGAGAACGGCCTGAAGAAGGTGAAGGTGAAAGCATGGATAGAGAAGACGAGGAATAGAGAGCAGTGGAGACTGGTTGTAGAGGGGCCAAGGCTCACCCTGGGCTTTAGCGCCGAGAGGTAGCTAGGTATGCTTGCTTCAGATTCCAATATTCGTTTAGCGAGAGGTAGTCTGTGCACTAGAACAGGCCGCGACCAATTCCATTCAAATCTCCATCTCTTAGTTATGTTTAGAACAAGCATTAGGAACTTCGTAGAGTCTGTCGACATTGCCGCCGCGTGGGGGTTGAAAGAATGGAGCAGGATATCTGAGGCGTCTTGAAATCATGCATTGGAGGAATATTGGTGCGGGGTGGGGGGTTATCTGGGCATGTAATATCAGATTCCTGGCAGCAGAAATTTCCCTTCAAGTTTTCGTACTCTGTTCTGCAGAAAGTAGCACACCCCATTGCCGCATGCTTAGATACAGAATTGGACACCATGTAAACCATTAGTCCTCCCAGGAAGAAGTTGAGCCTTACATCCTTACATCTTTAGTCAATTTTCTTTGACAAAAGTCAAACCGCTTCACGAAAGAAGGGCGTGGCCAGGTCACTCCTTGGAGCTGAGTTCACCTGCACGCAACAGCATAGCTGGATCACACATTTCCAAGCGGCTGCAACGGCTAAAGAACCTAGCAAACAATCACGGCAGGCCGGGTTCTACCCCAGGTCAGATGATGTGGGATTTATGGTGGACTAAATGACATTGGGTCAGGCTTCCTCTGAGTACTTTAGTTTCCCTTGCCAGTTCTCAGTTCTCCGATTGATCCACACTCAACTGTCATCCGGAGCTGCTACAATAGGCCCATTAATGGCCGCCGTACCAAGTGAATTCAGTCTGACCGCACCCCACGAACAAACAATAAAAACAAACAAACTAAATAGCACCAGGTCTGCCTTGAGCAGATGATGGTTATTCATCTGGTCAAGGGAACCGCTGTAATGAAAAATTAACTTTCATTACCATGTTAACATCGGACTGAGCCAGATAAGTCCAGTTCACGTCTTCATAACCGATTTCAGTATCAACCATTGCGTCTCCGACTCCACATCCAGACGGGTCCACATGATTACTTTTCCCATGGGTATCGGAAGTGAAACGGCCGGATCGTTAAGCTGATCACGCACTTCCATCTAATGCAAACGTTAAGAAAAGAGCAGTTTTACCTTCACTCCCGCAAATGTCTGCAGGGCGTGGTGCTTAAACATGGAGCATTCATATTTTCACTTCATATTTTCCATTCTCATCTTGGTCACAAAAAAGGTTACTTCCGTTGTAGATTATAAACCATAATGTAGTATCCATTTTGTCATGCATACTAGATATCTTGCCGATCACATACGTCTTCATTTAATAATTCTTAACGAGATTATGTGATGAATGGAGCTATTAAAAT